GCGAGCACAACTCAGCAGCCTGTCACTCTCAGCAAGCTGGCAGGCGACAGCCTTGGCAATGAGACACTCACCCTTTACAACAGTCCTGAAGACATCTCAAAATGATTACAGGAGATGCCTTCTTCTTTTATCTACCAGATTTAAATGTCTAGCCAAAAACCCACTTAAACATGTATCATTTAACATTTACTAAGATGGTAAGAATACAGTGGTAAATTATTACTGTATACGTTAAGTTTTCAAGTCATTAAATAGTCAACTTGATTGAAGGTAGAGTAAATTTGATATGGCACATTTAGAAAAAGAAAGCTAGTTAAAGCACAAGTTAGATTTATAACATTCTAACTGAATAGGAAGAACATAATTGCTAAGTCCAGCATTTTTCTAAAGTAAGGGGAAAATGGCCAGTTCTGAAGGTTTCCCGGGGGGTTGCTTCAGCACCCCCACTAGTGCATCAGGGAAAGCAGCGGAGCATGCTGCCAGCGCTTGGGCATCTGCAACCCATGTGGGAGACCAGGAAGAGGTGCCTAGCTCCTCACTCGAGACCAGCCCAGCTCCAATGATCTGGGGACTGAACCAGGACATGCAGGACCTCTGTCTAACTGGCTTTCAAACCTTCCAAATAAAGATAAATTAAGTCATTTACAAGGAAATAAAAAAGAAATTCTTATGCCTTAGTTCCTATTAACTGTGGAATATAATGGCATTATTATTCAATGTTTTTATTAAATATTAAACACATGCTACAAGTCCCCTTCAAAACCTGAAGGACTCTTACAAGAACTTTTCTATCACTCTCAATAAAGTGAAGAAAAAAGACTTCCAGGCCTATGAAACCACTAGAAAGGTTTTTCTATACTGATAATTATCTTACATTTTTTGCTAAAGATTATTAAAATGCTTCTTTTCCCAAGCTTTATTATAAAACAAAATTATTTTAATATGTTTTTAAAATACTAAAAGTTCTTTTCTTTAAACAGGTGTTGGGCACTTGCATCCCACCCTGGAGGGCCAGCCTGAGCCAGTGCGCATGTTCCAATCCAGCTTCCTGCAAGTGTGCCCAGAGGAGCAGCAACGGGGCATGGCTCTGCCAGGCATGTGGGAGACCCGGATGGAGTTCTGTGTCCTGGCTTTTACCTGGCCCAGTGCTGAATGCTGCAGCAGTTGGAAAGTAAAACAGCAGACAGAAAATCTCTGCCTCTCCCTCCCTGTCAGTCTGCTTTTCAAGTAAAACTGATTTTAAAGATACTTTGTTTCTCTCCGTAAATCTGCCTTTCCAATAAAAACCTCTAAATTTTTTTAAAAAGATAAAAAACGAAATGCTTACCACAAATGTTTAATATGCATTGTCAAAACTTAATTAATTTAAATCAGTAGACCGACAAAGATTTCTTCTAACATCCTAAAGAACCTGATCTTTACTTCAGTGTGCCAGCATGAATCTCAAATAGTAAAAGTTTAGATCTAAAACTTAAAATCAAATGCCTTGCAATTTTAAGCAAGCAAACTAAAACCAAGAATTAATTTAATTTGTAGGAAGTTTACTATCAATATTCAGTAACAAGTGGAACAACTCAAATCTTCCACGTTTAAAAAGTGTCAGACAGGGACTCAGCACAGTGGCCTAGTGGTTGAAGTCCTCGCCTTGCACACCCCGGGATCCCATATGGATGCTGGTTCCGATCCTGGCAGCCCCGCTTCCCATCCAGCTCCCTGCCTGTGGCCTGGGAAAGCAGTCCAAGATGGCCCAAAGTTTTGGGACCTTGCACCCACGTGAGAAACCTGGAAGAAGCTCTAGGCTCCTGGTTTTGGACTGGCTCAGCTCCTGCCACTGCGGCCACTTGGGGAGTAAATCAGCGGACAAAACGTCTTCCTCTCTGTCCTCCTCTCTACATATCAGACTTTGCAATAAAACAAAACAAAACATAACAAAACAAAACAAAAAGTCAGACAATCCCAAGTTTGAGATCTTTTAAAACGAAAAAAGTGAATTCTGGTTTCAATTACAACTATTTCCAGCCAGGAAGAAAAAGTAACATTATTAATGTATTTTCTGTATATGTTTTTATTATTTAGTTTATCCAATTTTGCTAAGCAAAAATATTAAAAATACTGAGCCTACCTTTTTTTTGCCATCAAATACAATTGTCATGTATTATGTTTATACACACAGAGACCCATAGTAATTATTTGTGGTGATAGGCCCCAAAATTAGCAATGCTGAAGACTAGTCTTGGGACAAGGGCTGTTGGCACAGTGGATGGACAGCTACAGCTCATGACACCAATGTCCTATTCTGCAGTGCCAGTTCAAGTCCCAGGGGGTCATTTCCCACCCAGTTCCCTGCTAATGCACCTGGCAAGGCAACAGATGTTTGAAGTGCTTGCATCTATGCCACCTGTATGGGAAAACCAGAATGGGAAAGTTCCTGGCTCTTGGCTTCAGCCTGGCAGCCCTGGTTGTTGCAGCCATTTTGAGTGTACAATGGAAGATCTCTGTCTCCCTTTAATGCACTTTCAAATAAGTAAATAAATCTTTAATTAAAAAATAAAAGGTGGGCCTGGCGGCGTGGCCTAGCAGCTAAAGTCCTGGCCTTAAACGCGCCAGGATCCCATATGGGTGCCGGTTCTAATCCCAGCAGCTCCACCTCCCATCCAGCTCCCTGCTTGTGGCCTAGGAAAGCAGTGGAGGACGGCCCAAAGCCTTGGGACCCTGCACCCATGTGGGAGATCTGGAAGAGGCTCCTGGCTTCAGATCGGCATAGCATCGGTCGGCCGTTGCGCTCACTTGGGGAGTGAATCATCGGAGGGAAGATCTTCCTCTCCGTCTCTCCTCCTCTCTGTATATTTGACTTTCCAATAAATAAATAAATCTTTAAATAAATAAATAAAAGGTTAGACCTTTCCTACTAAACATAACAATCGACTAATTTGAATTGTTAAAACTTACTGAAACTGAGATTAAAGGCCCAACAAATTAAGTTTCCTATGTTGCCACAGGAAAAATGAATGCAAACATTTTATCCAAAAAAAAATCTTTAAACAGGAATTTGCCCTCCATATTTCTATATTTCTATCTGTAAAGTTTGTATTTACCGAAAAAAAAAAATAAAAGCACATATTATCACCAAGATGGGCAGGTAGTGCCTCTCCTGCAGGCCAATCCTCCTCCGGTGAGCCGGAATCCCACACAGGCGCTGCTCGGCTGCTGCACTGCCCATCCAGCGCCCTGATAATGCATTTGGGACAGGAGTGGAGGCTGGCCTAAGTGCTTGAGCCCTGCACCCCGAGGGAGCCTGCCTGCCTGTCAGTGCATGGAAGAGCTCCGTCTTTTCCCCCGTCTCTGTAACTATGCCTTTCAGACACATAAATAAATCTCACTAACACAAGCAGCAAATGTAATGGCTACACAGAGCCTCGCCAGAACACGCAGCACTTGCTAGCAGCACTGATGCTGATTAACTGCCTTGTTTCCCAGCAAATTTTCCCTTGCTCTGCAAAAATTATTAACACTAAACGTCTTATCAGTAGCTAAAACTTCATTGCTTCATTATCACAAGTTGTAACCAAAAGATGTTTTAAGTTTGAAAAGCCCTAAAACTCTGCTCTAGCGGTTCATGATGTCAGTTCTTTTGTAAGACACAGGCCTCATGATGAGATGCGAAACACCACATGAAATCACAACATCTGACAATCAGCAACACATTGATTTCATCAACATAATGCACTCTTACACATTCCACCAACTTCTTAAAAACGTTAGTTTTGATCATACATTCCAGCAATTCTTCAAAAAATAAGTGGGGCCTCAGACAGTGTGTCTTATCTGAATTCACAGTGCCATGTTTAGTGTTACACAGAATAATGCACCTCGTAGAACAAATGGCACCTTAGGAACACTCTCAGAACTGCAAGTTTTAGCTAGTCCAGTGTCTCATTTTACAGATGAGGAAAACAAACATCCGAAGACACGAGTTCTCCAACATCATAAAACCCACAGTAAGACTCAGCCCCAGTCATGCCATTCCCCAAACTGCTTGTCCCACTACACACCTGGCGTCTCAAGAAAAGGAAAGGGAAACACAACAAAACACCAACAAACTACCTGACTTTAACCAACTGCAAAACGTGCAAAAACACTAGGTGGCTAATATTACATACGTAAAAAGCTCACTTCCCAGGAGCTCCGTGTGCATACCGCCTGATCAAGACACAGTCTCAAAATGATCCATCAGGAGCATCAAGAGCACATTCCACTTTGGTGCGCTTTCGGGATGGTTAAGCCGAGCAAAGGGACCCCGGACACTTCCACAAAACAGGAGCTGCCAGTTTAGGGTGGGCATATCAGCCGAGGCATCTCCCTAGTACCTTCTTTCCTCTGAAGAGACCCCCCCCCGCCCCCAGGAGAAGTCAGCTGCAAGCCCACCTACAACCCAAACTCCCAACAGCACCAGAAACTTTGCACCTCTTTGGCTAACAGGTGGTCGGGACAGGGAGCTGGGGGGCCCGGGTGACAGCCGCAGTGGCCATGCAGGGCTGGAGCACCAGGGCCCGTGGACCTGCCACGACGCCGCGCTCCTCCGGGGCAGCCTCCTCCCCACCCCCGGCTCCTCCGGCTCCATCCCCGGGGCGGGAGGACGGCAGAGGCAGGGACCCAGGGACGGGGAGAGGTCCTCGCCGGGTGCCAGAGGGGGACGGCTCGGCCCGGCTCCGAGGCCGCGGGAGGCCATTTTAGCTCCGGGCCCGCGGAGGCCCCAGCGGCCCTCCACGCTCCCGGATCGCCGCCGTGTCCCCCCGTCCCCGCCCGCCGCCGTGGGCTCGGCTCGGCCGGGCGGGGCGGGGCGGGCGAGGCCGCGGGGCTGGGCCTGTCCAGCGCCGGTCGGAGCTCGGGGACTCGGGGTTCGGGGGGTCGGCCGCGGGGGCGTCGCGTCGGCTCGGCTGGACCCCGGCCGCGGGGGGCGATCAGGGGGCCCAGAAGGGAGCGGGCGGGAGAGCCGTTACCTATACTGGGCCGCAGCCGCCGCCGCCGCCGCCCCGCTGTGGGTGAATCCAAAGTAGTTGCCGGTCGCCATTTTGGCATCTTCCCCCAGCCGGCTGGGCACTGCGGCGGGCACGGAGAGTCGGGTCCCATGGCGGGAAGAGAGGCGCGGAGGGGGCCGGGACGCCGAGGGAGGGAGGGCAGAGAGAGAGAGAGGCGCCGTGAGAAGCTGCCCCGGCCGGCCCGGGCCGCGGCCGCGCCGCCTCCCCGCGCCCGCCTCGCACTCCTCACTCACTCGCACGCCCCGGTGGCGGCCGCCGCCTCCTCCCCGGAGCCAGCCCCAACCCCCGCACCTCCCCGCCGCCCCGGGCCAGGGAAAAGAGGGCCAGGCTGAGGCCTCACGGGCCACATCGGACTCACCATAGGTGAAAGAAACTACAGGGCATATGGGAATCATGGGCTCGGGCTGCTGCTGCTGAACTCTGAACTCTCACCCGCTTGCCTCCCTCCTCTGCCCCGCTCCTCCTCAGCGGAGAACAGACCGCCGCCTCCGGCCACACTGCGCAGGCGCGCGCGCGCTGGGCTCCCTGGGAGCTGTAGTCCCAGCCGCCTCGCTGGTCCCCCGCGGGCGTGTCGGGGAGAACCCTGGAGGAGCAGGGGGAGCGGGCGCAGAGTGTCTGATGAGTGGCAAGGGTTAGAGGGCCGAGGGCCAAGGCTCCCCGGACTCTATAGTGGCGGCGTTCTGGACCGGATAGACAGTGATGCGGAGGAGGGAGCGCCTGGGCCGTCGCGGGGGCGTTGGGGAGCGTGACCAAAGAGCGTGACGTCTGTCAGCCTTTTTCCCCTGGGACTTTGCATTCCTTTCCTTTGATTTTGCCTTCCTGTCTGTCTCGCCCCGTTCACTTTTCAGAATCTGAACTGGAATAATCAGCATTCTGCCTCATTTCCCACGTTCTTGCTGCTTATCCCTGGCCTCTGAAATGGGGAGGGAAGGGGGGAAGGACAGCCAGTGGACCGAAGGTGCCACCCACCCACGACCTACACCTGGTGTGTCCTGGAGCCACAGCAGTGACCCAAAGTCAGGTTCCCGTTCACATGGAATTTGCATTTCGGGAGGGACATGTGACTGGCCACAGCCCAAATCTCAGAAAGTGCCGGCAATAGTGGGGACTGGTCCAGGCCAAAGCCAGGAGCTGAGAATTCAATCCAAGTCTCCAACATGGGTGGCAGGTGGTGAGGGTGGCCCAGGTGACATGGTGGAATCTCTTTAAAGGAGCAGGTATAGGCTCTGCAGACAAATCACCTACCTGGGAGAAACAGCTTGAAAACTCATCCTAAAATGGTGTGGCTGTTTTTTTTTTTTTTTTTTTTTTTACCTGGCAGGTTGTTCAAAGCCACGAATGTTCAGGAGCTGTCAGAAGGTCGTTCTGACCGCAGCTGAGTGAGACAGCAACCCTGTCAGGCACCTGCTTGGTACAGTCTTTCTTTGGCAAAGCAAGAGTATTTTCCTATGCGTTTTTTCCTTCCCTCTGATTTCTCAGTTTTCCTTTTACTCTCTCAATTCTCTCTATGCAAGTGGTCTCTCTTCTGAAGGGCTGTCTCCTTCTGCCTTCCCTCTTCCTTACCATCCTCAATGCGTAAGTGTTTCGTTTCACCTTTTCCTCGCCCTCTCCATGCCCGTCCCCCAGGCCTTCTACTCCTCCTCTCTCCTTGCTGTTGGATTAGAACACCCGAAAGAAACGCAAAAGGTGATTCAGAATTCGCCCCTGAAACCTAGGGCTTTCTCCCACCTTCTTATGCAGAGAAGCAATGCCTCAAACAAGTATTTGTGCCAACCCTGCTCTCCCACGCCTCCTACAAAGGTACAGCTTCTAAAGACCTGTCTAATTTGCCCTGTTACTCATTTCAGAAAAGAGAAAACATTGGGGAAAATTTAATGTCATTGTTTTTAAGCATATTAATTTTTTTTAGGCAGAAGTCCTTTGTGTTCCAAGTGTGTTGTTATAAGAAAATATCTGCTACACATAGGGCATTGAAACTGCAGTTTAATTTGTCTTGCTAGACTAGGATGTAACACCCACTACCCACCAGCAAGATCTGGAAGTGGTATGGGCCAGTTGGGCTAGGCCTTAGTACCCTCTTGGTGAGTGCCAGGATTGCAGGCTAGCCATGGCAGCCTGGGCTGCAGCTCCTGCAGGCACACATGAGATCCTGGGCTGGTAGTGATCTTGGTAGGGGAACAGGGGGATTTCCTGTGCTAGGCAGGAGCTCCTGATCTAAGTGTGACAGCTGGGGCTGAGGGTAGGCCAGGCCCAGGCCAGACTGGGTTGTAGCACCTGTTGGTATACATGTGAGCTGAGTCTGGGGGTGGGCTGAGGGCAGGCCATCCATAACACACACTGGCATGAGCAAGATTGGCATAAGGACTCCCTTGCTGGGCCACTGCATACAGTGGTGTGCATGAGAGCTGGGACTCAGGGCAGGCCTGTCTGGAGGTGGGCCAGGCTGGCCTAAGCTGCCGCGCCAATTGGCAAATATGGGAACAGGGCATAAGTCATGTCAGGTTGGACCACAGTACCCCCTGGCAGGCAAAAACTGGAGCTGGGTGCAGGTCTGGTAGGGGAACCGTGGGCATTCCCTTGCTGGGTTGCAGCGGCAACTAACTGGTGAACATGAGACCCAGGGCTGGGAGCGGGCCAGGCTGGTCAAGATGTAACACCCATGACCTGGACCTAACGGAAGGTCAGGCTGAGTTAAGCTGCAGCACCCATGGGTGTACATGAGAGCCAGATGGAATGTGAGCTAGACCAGGCTAGGCTGTAACACATGCTGGCAAGCACAAAGACTAGTGGCAGGGGGCCTAATGGAGGTTATTCAAAGTTGCCCCTACTAGGCTATGGCACCCAATGGTGTGTGTGTATTAAGTTTGTGGTGGGCTAGACTGGGCTTACCAGATTGCTACAGCACCCATCAGTTCACGTGAGAAATGGTGTTGGGGAAAAACTGACCAGGCAGCAACAACCACCATGAATTAGCTGGTGCAGAAGGCAGCCTGAACCTGACCCTGCACTATCTGGCATTCAAGAGGGTTAGGTGTGAAATCACCTCAGGCGAGGTTTTTTTGGGAGATTCCCCAACTAGACCACTAGATTCTAACTCCAGCCACAGGGAAAATCACAAGATATGTGATCTAAACTTGGAGTGAATTTATTTGTTACTAGATCTTCTCAGTTGCTGATGCCAGTGCATTTGTCAGTATACCCAGATACACATGGGGAACATGACCACCAGGTCATCAAGGCCAGCAGAGAACCTCAATTGCCTTGTCAGAAGAAGGAAAAAAGAATAGGTTGGACCACTCTCCTGGTCAAGCTTTGCAACATGTTTCTGGGTCTGTGGACGCACTAAGGTGGACATGGTCAGCCATTAGAACTTGGAAAGATATTCTCAATCTGGTGCAACAAAGCCATCAACATTTCAGAACTATCAAAAACTTCAGGGCTGGCACGGTAGCCTAGTGGCTGAAGTCCTCACCTTGCATACATCAGAATCCCATATTGGTACTGGTTCATATCCTGGCTACCCCCACTTCCATTCTAGCTCCCTGTTTGTGGCCTGGAAAAGCAGTTGAGGACAGCCCAAAGCCTTGGGACCCTTCAGCCACGTGGGAGACCTGGAAAGAAACTCCTGGCTTCAGATCTGCTCAGCTCTGACCATTGTAGCCACTTGGGGAGTGAACCAGCAGACAGAAGATCTTCCTCTCTGTCTCTCCTCCTCTCTGTTGACTTTCCAATAAAAACAAAAATGTTTTATACTTTGCTGCTTAGTGGGTCTTTAGAGGGTGGTATGCTGGTGGCACATGCCCTTGAATAAGCACCTATACTAGAATGATAAGACATTGCCTTTTTGGTGGCTGCTGTTCGGGTCTAAGGAGCTGTGCAGTGGAAAAACTGCTTCAGGGATGGAGCTTGAAAGAAGACTTTCAACTGCCACTGACTTGGGATTATTTAAGGAAAAAGTTTTTGAAAGGACTTGAATTTTCCCAGCGTGAATTTTGGTAGTAGAATGGCCTGAATACAGAGGCTGGCACAGTGAAGCAGTGGGCTAAGCTGCTACCTGCAATGCCTGCATCCCAGCATGGCCCAGGTAGGAGCCCTGGCTTTTCCGTTTCCTATCCAGCTCCTTGCTATTGCACCTGGAAAGGTAATAGAAAATGGTCCAAGTACTTGGGCTCCTGTTACCCACATGGGAGACCAGCGTGGAATTTCTGACTCCTGGCTTCATCTTGAGTCCAGACTATTGCAACCATTTGGAGAGTGAATCAGTGAATGCAGATTTCTCTCTCTCTCTGTCTTTCAAATAAATAACTCTTTTTTTAATGGCCTGAATATATAACTTAACATTTCTGATCCTAAATAACATAAATAGCAATAGCATTTCCCTCTTGAAACTCTGGTTGGGGATAAATTAAGCAGTGTTTATGTTAAAACAATACCTAGTCTTTTAATTACGAAGTACTAGATTGCATGATTGTGATTCTAATAAGCAAATGCACTATGGTTGCTCATGATTCTGTCCTGAAGAAGTAGGCCCCAGATTGTCCAGTCTGGGAAGCATGACAGCACACAGTCCTCCTGGGACCATGGGAGGCACAGGACTTAATTGGAAGCAGCGAATTATAGCATCTGCCTGTTTTCAGGTCCTGAAATGATTCAAAAAACAAATCTGATCAAATATTTCCCATTCTTCCTAAGTAAGAAAAAGTGAAATTCCTCCACATGGCCTGAAAGACTGGTTTAAACTCTCTGCCTATTCAGCATCTTCTTCCTTATTCTCTTCATTCCAGCTGCTTCAGCCTTCCATCCTTTGCTCTCTTCCTCCCATAGGGCCTTGCGTGTTATCTCTGCCTAGCATTACTATTCCTTCGTCTTCTTCCCTGGCTAGCCTCATGGTTGGAAATCTTGGCGAAACCCTCTTCAGTTTTTCCTAATTGTGCTGCCGGGACACCAGGTGTCTCTTCACAGTTACCCTCAAGATGGTTGCAATGTTAAACTTCTGTGTAGTTTCCTTCATTATAGTTGTGATCTTAAAATTCTTGCATGATGAATTAGTACGTATTTCTCTCATCCAACTATAAACTTCATGAGGGCAAAGTGCGAATATTGTGTACCTGGTGATACACACCCAATAAGTACTTTTGGAATGAATGGATTATGCACAGAGTAAGCTTTCTTTGGTAATTTGAAGATCGTTTAAGAATCTGTAGTGTCAGAGCTGGTATATGGCTCAGCAAGTTAATCCTCTACCTCCAAGCACCAGCATCCCACAGGGGCACAGGTTCATGTCCCAGCTGCACTTCCCATCCAGCACCCTGCTTGTGGCCTGGGAAAGCAGCAGGGGTGGAGAAACTCCTGACTCCTGGCTTCAGATCAGCTCAGCTCTGGCTGTTGCCATGTGGGGAGTGAACCAGTGGATGGCAGATCTTTCTCTCTTTATCTCTGTATATCCATGCAAATAGATAGATCTTAGGGGGAAAGGGG